ACACCCCTCACACAGCTCTCCTCTGCCCCTGTGGACATCACGTGTACACCCCTCACACAGCTCTCCTGTCCCTGTGGACATCATGTGTACACACCTCACACAGGTCCCCTCCATCCCTGTGGACAGCACGTGCACACCCCTCACACAGCTCTCCTCTGTTCCTGTGGACGTCACGTGCACATACCTCATATAGCCATCCCTCCATCTCTGTGGACATCACATGTTCACCCCTCACACAGCTGTGGACATCATGCGTACACCCCTCACACAGCTCTCCTCTGTCCTGTGGACATCACGTGTCCACCCCTCACACAGGTCCCCTCCATCCCTGTGGACAGCACGTGCACACCCCTCACACAGCTCTCTGTTCTATGCTTGTATATTTAATGTACTAACACCTTTCAGGCTCTTTCTCAGCTCCCGTCTTTAACACCTGCTTCTTCATTGCAGTCTCGTGCTGTGATGCCAGGTTGGCGTTTGTAGTTTGTGTCGTGTTTATGGCCTATTTTGGGGTGTCACACTCAGCCGCTGCTGGCTCCTTAGGCCCAGTCGGGACAGCAGCAGGGACTCTAGTCTCCGTGTCTGCGTGTGTGCCTGCCTGCGCCGTGGCCTCTCGACCAACGCTCTAGGGGCTGACTGGGGTCTTGGGGCTGCTGTGGGCATGTGGCTGTGCCTGGAGCTGCCAGAGGTGGCAGGGCGGTGTCCTGGCTTGGTGATGTTGTGGGGCAGGACCAGCTCGCCTGGCCCCTGGGCATGGCCACTGGGACGGAATGGAGGCTGGGAGCATGGCCTGGGCAGGACCTCAGGCCCCTTCACAGCTGTCTGCCGTGCTGTTTCTATTATATCATGGGGTTCAGTCCCCTGGGACACGTGTCCCTGACCTCTGGGCCCTGGGTGTCCTCGGCTACAGTGTCCCTCTGGAAACACAGAGTTCCCACACTAGGACTTGGGGTCGTGTTACCAGCTTCCCTGTGAGATGACCCAGTAAATGAGTAAGGCTGCACTCCTGTTTCCTCACCACGTCACAGACTGCTTTTCAGCGGCTGACACCTGTCTCTCCCAGCCCCGCTGCACCTTTCCACAGCATCCGGGCCCCTTTTCCTTGTCACTGTCCCTGACGGACAGCCGGCTCAGTCGTCCGGGTAAGCACAGGTCTTCTTGTGCCCCTCGTCTGCTCTGAAGTTTCGTCACCACAGTAAAGGAGTTTGCTGTAGTTTACGAAGTACACATATCTCACCCCCCCATGTTTACCGTGCTTATGGGATGTCCTCCTCTGCATCCATCCCTCCTGTGGGTACCCTCGTCTCACAAGAGAGACTCCTGTTCCAAGTCTTGAGCCAACCCCCCAGGTCACCCGGACAGGTAGAATTGGGCCATGCTGAGCATCAGGGAACAGCGTCATCTGGACAGGGGCTCCAGCATGGACCTTTCTCCCCCCAACATCTGCTGTGACCTGTCTTTGAGGCCTGTGACTGGTGCCTGGTGGGGACAGCAGCCCTCCCCATGCCTTCCTGTGCATTCCTGGGCACAGACCTGTAAGGGAGCCATGGACTCTGGGCTGGGCTGGCCACGGGCACCTGCTTATCATTGCCTGCATGTGAGAGCTGGACAGTGAACCAGGAAAACCACAGAAGTCCAGAGGCCGTTGATTCTAGTGCTGGTGGAGAGCACTGACCATCCCAGCACTGACTGTCCACAGACTTCTGAAGAATGAGCGAACATGCCTTAGAAGGGTGACCAGAGCCTTCCCTTCGACGAGGACCGTGAGACTTCATCTCGCATACTTGGGACATGTCATCAGGACGGCCCCTGACCCAGGGGAGGCTCTCGTGCTTGGTAAAGTCGGTCAGCAAAGAGCAAGATGCCCAAGTACAGAGTGGCTGCAACAGTGGGCTCCGTGGCTGCAACTGTGAGCCCAGGACCAGGCGACGCTTCCTTCTGTCACGTGTGAGCTGTAAACGTCATGAGACAACATCCACTGGAAGGCTGGAGACGCCACGCCCACCCCGTGCACCCATCGCAGCTTCTCTTCTGACAGTCTTAACCCCCCTAGAAGGCCTTCCCCC